CGGGGCACGAACCCGTGTCCCCTGCATCGGCAGGCGGACTCTCAACCACTGAGCCACCAGGGAAGCCTGCCTCTGCCTTGTTGAACTGAAAGCTGTATTTGAAAACAGATTGGACACTTTTCTGGAAAACCAAACAGGGCATGAAGCTCTCTGGTCTTGGGCTGTTCATCACCGCTTTATGAGATAATTCCCTCCAGCAACTCATCTACACTATTACAAATAAGCATTTTCAAAATTCAGTGTCAAGGTAGTTATTATTTTATTTACTACTGCTTCTGAAAGTTAGTTATATTTCCCCAAATATATTCTGTAGTCTCTACTGCTTCTATCCCCTTTGAACTGACGTTATTTACTATATTCCTTCATCTGTCAATATTCCCTCGCATATAGTCAGTCCCCTGTGTCTACTGGCCTTTCTTCAACTAATTATAAAGTGTGTGATATCTGAAGTGAGGTCCTTGCTTGATCCATTGCATTACCTGGTCATAAACATTTCTTCAAGAGCTGATATTAATTCTTGCAGATCCTGTTGATTTGCTAATTCATATAGCTGTCCTAATGTCTTCACTACGCACATTTGGTAGTTTAGGGCATTTTTCACTTCAGGTAAGGATTTTTTTTTTTTTTAATTACAAGAAGATGGAGTCGCGCAGAGAGTCTGCTGAATGGAACTTTCTTAGCCCTACTTACCTCTGCAATCAGATCATGTAGCTCTCCTTCACTAGGGCAGCATCCTAATGACCTGATAATTGTTCCGATCTCTCTGGGGAAAAAAGCAGTCAATTGCTTTAGAATATAAACTCTGAAAAGACAAGTGCTATATTTCTCTAAATTATTTCAGAGCAGATGTAGCATAGCAAACAAAGTCATACAATAAATATTGCCTCAAGAGGATGGAAGGTACTTTCTGAGGAAAGGAAAAGGCAGACAAGTGAACCCAAGAGAGAAGAAAGAAGGATCTGTGTTGACTGGCAAGTGCAAGCCCTGCCTGGGCCCAAATCAAAAAGTTCTCGAAAAGGAAAAGAAAGGAGGGAGAAATAAGAAAAAGAAAGGTCAGCCGCTTACTGACTGGCTTTAAGTGTTAGTTAATTCTTTTGAGCCTCAGTTTCCACATCTGTAAAATGAGGATGATAATTTCTAATGTGGTGAAGTCTACATTAGTGGCAGAGAACCTAAAAGCATGAGCTCTAGTGGCAGACTGCTAGGGTTCAAACTCCAGCCCTGCAATTTGCTAGACTGGGCAGGTTAATCCCTGTGCACATAATCCTGCCTGGGAGGTAAAACCCAGTACCTCCCTTGAAATACTCAGAACTGGACTGGGAGGGGCTAAGGGCAAAGAGCCATCGTAACATAAGCACAGCTTTCGGCAGAGCAGCCACCCAGTGAATATCAGCTACTCCCCACCCCGCCCCATGGTAATTTAATTCAATTCAACAAATAGCCTAAGGAAAGCAGAATTATATTCAGCACTCCCTGGGTGCTGAGACAGAGGATTTATAATAGATTGTTAAATATTTCCACTTAAAATGATTAAAAAGTTGTGACATTTTGAATGTTAATTTCACAAATATTCACTTAACTAGAATATTTAGCTTCTTTACCATTCTGGCTAATATTGGTGGTGTTATATTTGCTGACTATTTTACTGCGAAAATATTTTAAATAAGAATTTTTAAGTTCTTCACTTAAGGAAGCTGCAGGATGAGTATCAACTTAAGAGAAAAACCTGAAGTCAGTAACTGTGGAAGACAGGATTCTCGACGTTCACTGATTGATCTGAAGGCCAGCTAAACATGTACGGTCTTCACGCCAACTCTATTTCACATCTCCCTGAGCACCTTAGGCTCAACACCTCTGCGCTGCTTTTCCTGCCCACAGCCCTCATTGAGGCAGGATCTGAACATGATGCTACTACTACACACCAAAAATATTTTATGAGATTATACTTTCTCTCTAGAAGCCCCTAAAGATGACCCATGAAACTGGCCAACACCAATGTAGTAATGTTCTTGTAACATCAGACGGGGCTATTGCATGCATTAGAACAAATAGTTAATGAGGCAGGGACAAAAAATATAATTTGAGAAGTATTCACAGATTTATCCCCTCCGTAACCTCCTAGGCCTTCTGTTCTTCGAATCAGAGAACTGCTTCAACTCCAGACGCAGAAGGACAAGAATAAAGGCTTCCTTAACTCACAGAAACAAAGGGAGGGTAAGGAAGGGAGATGGGAAAGGCCTGAACGCCCTTGCAGGTTAGAAATCTCAGGGAGGTGGGATGGGGAAAAAGAGAAATTTCAGGCCTGAGACGTGCAGTACCGTAGCTACTACCTCCATCTGGCTATGGGGCACTAGCAATGTGACTAATCCAGACTGAAATGGGCTCTAAGTAAAAAATATACATGGACTTCAAACACTTAGTGTGAAAAAAATGTAAAATATCTCATTAAAAATTTCTTATTGATTACATGTGGAAATCATAGTATTTTATACATATCAGTTAAATAAAACATATTGTTAAAATGCCCTTTCTTTTACTTCTTTAAAATATGGTTACTAGAAAATTTTAAATTATATGTGTAATACTCTTTTGATGGTACTTTTCTAGGCAATAGCGGCCATCATGTTCACACTTTGCAAAGACAAGTACAGCACATAAAGAGAACATTAGAATTACAGTGTGCTGTGTCAGCAACATAATCAATCCCCTCCTTGTGCTGCTCTGAGAAACTTTCAACCTTATTTCTTTATTTATTGGCCGCACCTCGCAGCATGTGGGATTTTAGTTCCCCGACCAGGGGTTGAACCCGCGCCCCCTGCAGTGGAAGCGTGGAGTCTTAACCACTGGACCACCAGGGAAGTCCCGCAACCATACTTAAATGAAGTCCTTTGTCGCTGACCCAGGTCTCATGTCTTCTGCCAACATCTATGAAACAGTAACAGACTAACTTACTAGCTTTCAAGGGGGATAAAAGCAAACCATAGACTTGACATGTATAAGGATGCACAGGAGAAAATCTGGGCTGGAAGCACAGATCTGGTAACAAAGCCACGGGAGTAGAAGAGCTCCTCTAGGAAGAGTATCCCGGCTGGAAGAGATGACGAGCCAGGAAGAGCTCAGAGGAGTACTTACACTGACACAATGGTCTAGTCCCCACACTAGACACAGGGAAGAGGAGCCAGGGGGTAAAAGCAGAAATTCAGGACAGGGTGGTATCATGGAAGCTAAGGAGAGAGATGGACAAATTGAGTCATCTTTGGCATCAAATGCTGCTGGGAGGTCGAGTAAGACAAGTTCTGAGAAATGTCCACTGGATTTAGTGAAGAAGGAAATCAGTTCTGATTTTTTTGTTTTTGTTTGTTTTGTTTTTGATTTTTTCGCGGTACGCGGGCCTCTCACTGTCGTGGCCTCTCCCGTTGCGGAGCACAGGCTCCGGACGCGCAGGCTCAGCAGCCATGGCTCACGGGCGCAGCCGCTCCACGGCACGTGGGATCTTCCCGGACCAGGGCATGAACCCGTGTCCCCTGCATCGGCAGGCGGACTCTCAACCACTGCACCACCACGGAAGCCCAGTTCTGATTTTTGATCAAGGATGTTTCACTTGAAAGTGGGGGAGAAATCAGATTGCACTGGGTTGAGGTAGATGGATCTATAAAGTGAAGGGAAAGAAGAGATGTCTGGAGGGGGACATGGTGTCAAGGAAGATTTTTTTTATAATTTAAGACCAGAAAAAGGTGAGCATGTTTTAATACCAATGGGAATGAGCCAGTGCAAAGTAGAAGGCTGATGAGGGCACCGTCGACTGAGCAGGTGGGCTTCCAGAGGAGGTGGGAAGGGCTGGGCCAGGTGCTTAGTGCTGTGTCCACACAGCCATCCGATCTGAGGTCCTGCCACCAGCAAGTTGCTACCTGTGAGAGGGTGGCAGGATCCTCCTTGCAGCCTTAGAAAAGTTTACTCTATCCCTCTTTCTACTTCCCTTTGAAGAACCTATCACCATCTTCTGTTCTTCTGAGTGCATCTAGCTGGATTGTCACACTCTGCCTATGCAGACCGCAGAAAACAAAGCCTAATGATGTCCTCTAAGCATCAAGAAACTTCCTTCTCTCTAGTCCTGAGACACAAAGGCCTGATGATATAAGAGAAAAGGGCAAAGACCCTTCGGCTGATGAGTTCACAGTGGCCTAAAGAACAATACAAAACTCAAGAGCTCACCTGCACACAACCATCAGGTCTGCTAGCTCACCCACCCTGCCTCCTGTGGAAAGCTAACCTCTTCCTCTGTGCTCCGGGGCTCTGGAAGCTGCGGTCAGGATCCCTTCGGCTGAACCTGGCACAGAGGAAGGCGATGCTACCCCCGCCTTCAGGCCTCGACATCTCAGCAGTACAGTGATCTTCCTTCTCCTTGTTTTTCCTAAAGACTGCATCAGCCTTGGGATCCCAGTGCAACATGAGAGAGGAGAAGGAGAGGCCAGCGAACGGCTAATGTTGACCTCTTCCTGGTCTTGGCACATGGGAAAATGGAATCTGATTAGATTTAGAAAAATACAGAAACGTGACACATCTTTGTCCTCTATTTCATATCTGTAAGCCTAGTTTGTGGCTGGGAGTGGGATATGAAGGCCTGCCTCGCCTTTGTGTGGAAAGGCAAGGTCCTCTGCCAAGAGTGAACGGGGAGGCAGGGGCTCTTATCTGCCACTCACCACCACGACCTGCCTCTCTAGGCACCCGTTTTCCAGATGGCGATCCCGGCCCTCGCTCTCACACTCTAAAGCCTGTGCTTCACTGGCTCTGCTGCATATTCTCTGTGTGCCCCTCCAGAACCCCTCTCCATGCTTCCCCTGCTCCACTCCCTGAGGGCCTAACCTCCTACTGCACTGGCTCCCTTGGCCCCAGGCTTCCGGCTGCAGCTGTCCAACTCAAGGCAGAGCATTGCAGGCTTCCGTTGCTGGGTCACATGCTGCCCAAAACGTAGGGGCTTAAACAACAATGAGTTCTTATTTTTCATAATTCTGTGGGTTGGCTGGACGGTTCCTCCACTGGTTTCCCCTGGGCTCACTCACGCAACTGTGTTTAGCAATTAATTAACCTACACATATGGTTGTTCAATATTCTATAGTCAACCATTCAAAACTGCCACTACCACCATCCTGGATTCTGGGCCCCTTAACTTCCATCCTGCCTGCTCTAATGATCCATAACCCTGAGCACCTCTAACTTTACTTTCCTGTTCCTGCAAAGCACTGCTGGAAGAAAATAATTAACAAAAAACAAAACAACCATAGCCCACTACAAATTCATGCCAGCCAGCATCGAGTGTCCTGGACGTCGCCTGACAATCCTTTCTTTCATCTCCTTTTGATTCCCTAGAAAACGCCTCCCAAAACAGCTCTTCTGAAGCCTCTCTTGCCTCAAGCTCCAAAGCACTGACTCCCTCAATCTCAGTAGAAAACCTGTCACCTCCTTCACTGAACAGATGAAAACTGCTAAGGCTGGCACCATCACCAACCCTCTGACCGCCTGCTCAGTCAGCTCAGGCTGCTCTAACAACACATCACAGACTAGGTGGCTTAAACCACAAACATTCATTTCTCATAGTTCTGGAGGCTTGAAGTCTGAGATTGAGGCACCAGCGGATTCGGGGTCTGGTGACCGCCCTCTTCCAGGCTTGCAGACAACCACCTTCTTGCTGTGTCCTCACAGGGTGGGAGGAGAGGAGAGCAGGCTCTGGTCTCCCTCTTCTTCTGGGGGCCCTGATCCCATCAT